GTACATTGGAGTGAGGGAGACCATGAGTAATGAAATGAATCAAAATTATTGATACCTTCTAATGTTAGGTATCATTCTAGAGTCTTTACATATCTTATCTCGTCTACTCCTAACTAGGAAGCAATAACATTGGAATTTGGAATTAGGTCTGATTATCAAATTGTAGTAATCAAAATGTGAGGTGAAGGCTTGTAGTCATATGGGGGCAGCATTCACATCAACAATCTACTAAAATGTCGGAGTTATAGAAAAATGAACCAGAAATAACTCTAAGGTTTGAGAAAATAACAAATAGCCATTCTATCATATATGATATAGCCATTCTATCATATATGATATGATAGAATGGCTATTTGTTAGTTTTATCTCAGGCACATAGAAGTAGTTAACTCATAAACCTTGATTAATGACACACTGTCATCTGAGCATGGCCTGCTTTTTTTAGTAATTGTTGTTACTAACGTAAAAACACCCACCGACCTGTTGACCTACAACAGTTAGGATCTTGCTAATAGTTACATGGAATTAAGACCCACTCACCCCCATCGTATTGTCTTCTCCCACAAAGAAAACTTTAGTCTCCAGATGGATTCACTGGGAAATTCTTAAAAACATTTGAGGAAAAAATAATACCAATTCTGCATGCACTCTTACAAAAAATTAAAGAAGAGAAAATACTTCCCAGCTCCTTCAGTGAGAGAAGTATTGCTCTGTTAACAAAAGCAGGTATTACAAGAAAATAAAACTACAGACTAATATCCCTCATAAACATGGATGCACAACTCCTTAACAAAATTTTATCAAGTTCAGTCTGTCAGTATGTCAGAAGGATAATGCATCATGATCAAATGAAGTTTATCCTAGGATTGGAAAGCTGATTTAACATTTGAAAATAAATAATTTCACCATAATAAAAATAAAAGCTTTATGATTATCATAATAGACATAGAAAAAGCATTAAATTCAACATCCATTCCTGAAATTACCACAATACAAATAGAAAGGAACTTTATCTTATATAGAGCATCTAAGGAGAAATCTGTAGCTAAAATCATATTTAATGGTAAGAACATTTTTCTCCTGAGATCAGGACAAGGCAAAGAAGTCTGCTCTGATAACTTCTATTTAACACTGTCCGGGAAATTCTAGCTATTACAATCATGCCAGAAAAAAGAAATAAAAGACATCCAGATTGCAGAGGAAAAAAGATGATATAATAGTCTATGCAGAAAATCTGATGGAATAAAAAAAATAAAATTTATAATTTACTTTAGCATGGTAGCAGGATATAAGGTCAGAATACAAAAATGAATTATGTATTTATATACTAGCAATAGACATTATCAATTGAAATCTAAAACAACATGATTTACAATAGCATCAACAAAAATGAACTTATTTAGGGATAAATCTCACAGAAAATATGGAAGACTGCACACTAAATGGTACAAAACATTTCTGAGAAAAAATTATGGAAGATATAAATAAATGGATCAGAAGTGTTCATGGATCAGAAGATTCAATATTATCAAGATGTTAGTTCTTCCAAAATGTATCTACGGATTCAGTCCTAATAAAAATCTCAGCAGGTATTTTTACAGAAATTGAAAATATAATTCTAAAATTCATACAGAAATGCAAAAAACTTAGAATAACCAAAAGAACTTTGCAGAAGAACAAAGAGTTACACTATCTTTGTCATGCCATTATAAAGCACACTAATCAAGACTATAAGGTACACTAATCAAGGCATAGTGATGATAGTTAAAAAAAAGAAAATGGTGTGGTATTGGCATTCAGAGAGACCAGCAGATTAATGGAACAGAATAGATGTCCAGAAACAGACTCACACATACATGGTTAATTTTATTTTTGACAAAAAAATCAAATGCAAAAGCTTTTCAGTGGAGAAAAGATACTTTTTTTTTTCTTCAATAAATAGTTCTGGAAAAATTGTTATCCATATGAAAAAAAAAGTAAACTTGCACCATATACAACAAGGAACTCAAAATGGATCAAAGACCTATATGCATAAACCTAAAACTATAAAACTTCTAGGAAAAAAATGGATCAGTTGTGATTATAGATTAGGCCAGTGCAACACCCAAGCACAAACAATAAAAGTAAATATTGCTGTAATATAAGGAAGAACTTATGTTCTTAAAAGGACAGTTTAAAAAAATGGAAAGAGACCTGGGAGGCAAGAGCAGGGTGGAGGGGGACAATGGGGGGTGGGGGGGGCGGGGACATCTTTAATATTTTCAATAATAAAGATACAGTTTTTAAAAAAGGAAAATGAAAGGATAAGGTAAAGACTGGGAGAAAAATTTTTGCAAGTCATATATCTAATATAGATCTTGTATCCAGAATATATAAAGTATTTACAAAACTTAAAATGGAAAAATAAATAACCCAGTGAAAAAATGGGCAAAAGATTTGAATTGATACTTCCACCAAAGAATTTTTACAGATAAGTCCTGGCTGGTTTCACTCAGCAGTTAGAGCAGCGGCCCGCAGACCAGAGAGTCCCGGGTTCGGTTCCTGCTAAGGGCACGTACTTGGTTGCAGTTTGTCCCCGGCCCTGGTTGGGGTGGTGTGGGTGGCAACCACTCGATGTGTCTCTCTCACATCGATGTTTCTCTCTCTCTCTCTTCCTTCCTCACTCCCTCCCACTCTATCTGATATGCAAAAAAATCTAAATGCAAAAAAAGAAAAAAAAAACAGAAGAATTTTTACAGATAGAAAAAGAACATATGGAAAGATGTTCAATACCGTTAGTTACAAGGGAAATGTAAATTAAAACCATAATGTGATGTCATTACACACCTTTAGAATGTCTAGTATTAAGAAGACCATGCTGGGTGTTGGTGAAGATGTAGAGAAAGTATAACTCTCATACACTATTGATGGGAAGATGAAATGGTACAAACACTTAAAAAATAGTTTGGCAGTTTCTTAAAAGGTTAAACATACGTCTGTTGCAAGGCCTAGCAATTACACTTTATTTACCCAAGAGAAACAAAAAAGCACATATCTACAGAAAGACTTGTACATGGATATTCATAGCAGCTTTATTTGTAATAGTCAGTAATTGGAAACAACCCTGATATTCATCAGATGAATGGTTAACAAGTTGTGGTACATAACAATAGTCAGTAATAAAAAGTAATAAACTATTGATGTATGCAACAACATGGATGAACCTCAAAATAATTATGCTGGGTGGAAGGAGCCAGACAATAAAGTTCATACCATATGATTCCATTTATATGCGCCTGAGCATGCGGGTGGGAGGCAGGAAGAGGGGGGAGGCAAGGGGTCTCAGAAAACATTTGGGGGTAATGTAATTATTCATTTTCTTGATTGTGGTGATGGTGTCATGGATACATACATATGTCAGAACTTACCAAATTGTTCACTTTAATAAAGTGTAGTTTGTGGGAAGGAGGGGGGGTGGGTCACTGGGGAAAAGTGGACATCTGTAATACTTTCAACAATAAAAAAAATAAAATAAAAGTGTAGTTTATTGTATGTCAATTATAGCTTAGTAAAGCTGTTTTTATTTTATTTTATTTTATTTTTATTTTCTTATTTTTTATTCTCACCTGAGGACATTTTTTCATTTTTTGTTCAGATAGAGTGGGAGGGAGAGAGAGGAAGAGAGAGAGAGAGAAACATCGACGTGAAAGGTAAACATCGAGTGGCTGTCACCCGCACGACCCAACCAGGGCTGGGGACAAACTGCAACCGAGGTACATGCCCTTAGCGGGAACAGAACCCCGGTCCCTCCGGAACTCAGGCCGACGTTCTAATCGCTGAGCCAAACCGGCCAGGGCTGTTTTTATTTTATTTTAAAGTCAATAAATAAATTACAATAGCCCTGGCCAGTTTGGCTCAGCGGTTAGAGCGTCGGCCTGCGGTCCCGAGAGACCCGGGTTCGGTTCCCGCTAAGGGCATGTACCTCGGTTGCAGTTTGTCCCCGGCTCTGGTCAGTCGTGCGGGTGGCAGCCACTCGATGTGTCCCTTCACGTCGATGTTTCTCTCTCTCTCTGTTCCTCTCTCCCCCTCCTACTCTACCTGAACAAAAAATGGAAAAATGTCCTCGGGTGAGGATAAAAAAATAAATAAATAAATACAATAAAACTCTAAAAAGTATTCAATTAACCCAGAAGTAGGCAAGAAAAGAGTAGTAAAGGAATAAAAAAAAGAGGGGGCAAATAGAAATAAGTGGTAATTATTTATATAAATAATTACATTAAATGTTAATAGACTAAACACTGTGATGAAAAGATATTATCGGAATTGATTTTTTTTTAAAAAAAGCAATGTCCATTTATATGCTGTGTCCAAAAGATGTACTTCACATGAAAAGACAGAGATAGGTTGAAAATAAATGGCTAGAAAATTGTATACCATGCAAACTAAACTTAAGAAAGTTGATGTGGCTGTTTTAATATTAGATAAGTTCAAGGCAATGAGATAAGAGAGGGAAATTTCATAGTGATGAAGGGGTCAATTCAAACAGAAGATAATACAATTGTAATGTATATGCACTTAAAAGAGTTTGAAATTACAAGAGACAAATGACAGAATTAAAAGAAGAAAGACAATCCTACATATTTGAAAACTGATAAATCTAGGCAAAAAAAAAAGTGAAGACAGAAATTTAACAAGATCAACCACCTTGACCTGGTTGGTATTTATAGAATAATACAACTAGTAATTGCAAAATACAAATTCTTTGCAAGTGCACTAGATACATTCACGAGCTATTTTAGGTCATCGACTTACAAAGATCTTTTAATATCATGCATCTTGTACCTTCTATGCCCTAAATCTTGAGAAAAGAAGCTGAGGGTTATCACAACTTAGTACTTCTTGGATAATGTCAGTATTTCCTAAGGCACAATTAATACGCTATGAATATTTACAAAAATGCATAGCATGTTTTTAAATTAAATCATTAAAAGTTCTTATTCAATACTATCATATTTTTTCAGGTGCAGAAATATACAAAGCTTCATAATCACTCTAGGACCACATAGAGCAAACATGAATGATATTTCCCAAAAGGCTGAGGTAAGTCTCAAGAGTTAAAAAATAATGGGGGGAACATAAGGCTAACTGGAGAATTACTGAAAGGTCATATTGAGAAGTTATCATAATAATAGTGTCGAGATATAAATCATAAGAAATCCAGAGGCTAGTCTTGGGTGCTGTAGTTCACTTGGGTTCTAAATTAGGAATCATGATTATTAAATATGTGAATGATGGTGAAGTGGATGTGATGGGCAGCATCTTCAGTAGAGTTTTAACATCTTGGTAAGTCTTAGAAATTATTTTTTCAATATTAAAGAAACGGATTTGCCGTGTACTCTTGGGAGACAGCGGTGACTCACTCTCAGGTGAGGATCCTGATAAGCATTTCCTCCAGCAGCTGCAATGAGATGTCCTTTGGCCATTTCTGGTTCTTGGCTGTAGGTACCTCCGGAGAGTTGTAGTAAAAAGAGCTCACCCCAAAGTTTTGTGACACCCCAAAGTTAATCAACTTTTAAAAAAACCTTAAGTGGCTAGTGACACCATATGCGGATAAGAGGCTGGGTATGCCACAGATCAATTAAGCAACTTGCCATTACTAGGAGAAAGGGTTTGGTGTTCTGAGATGCTGAAGCTTTATGCACTGTAACTTCTTTTAGAGATCAGCTTAATTTTCAAAAATGATGAAAATAATGTGCTTTCCAGGTTTTATAGTGGAGGAAAATAATTTCTCTGGTGTTTTACCAGATTTCTCCTTCTTTGGGAAGCTTTTTGGCCATTCAGGAATTTTCCTCTTAGAGCTCATCCTACTTGGAATGATACAGCTTTCTTACACATTTTTGATGTTGGTTTATAGAAGTTCTGGATGGACAGTAATGATACAAGTCACTGCATATGCACCATGACCCTGGCACACCTCAGGCACAAATGAGAATTAGAGGACCGGGCTTCAGCTCTGCTCATGTTAGATATGGAAACAAGCAAGAACGTTAATGTGTGAATTAGGCTTTGCACTTTAAAGCCTAAACTTTCTATTTATTTTCAACTTCATCTAATTTATTGAAATTAGTCTAGGTATCTTTTAAGCAAGTGATGGGAGTAGGATGTTAAAATACAGGTTGTTTTAAATTAGAATCCAGTATTCAATTTTTATATTTTCCTAGCCCTCAGCTTCAGTAGAATGCACTCACAAAATGGAACTTCTACACAATCTATTAATAAAAATTTTACTCTCATATTTTCTGTAATTTTCTTTTTTTATACTTAGACTTCAGAAAGTATATAATCAGATTCTAATGGTTCAAATAAAGGTTTCAAACTCATTTCTATTTCCTGTTTCAACAATTATTTCTTGTGTGGTTTATTCTGATCTATCTTTACCTGATTTCTATCTATCTTTTTTAAAACTTTCTTCTCTTTATTTTCTTCTAATGAAGATTCTGCTTTCTTCATCTAAACCTGTCCCAAAAACCTATGTGCCAAAACTTGGCAAAGGTGATGTAAAGGATAAGTTTGAAGCCATGCAGAAAGCCAGGGAAGAAAGAAATCAAAGGAGATCTAGAGACGAAAAGCAAAGAAGAAAAGAACAATATATTAGAGAGAGAGAATGGAACAGGAGGAAGCAGGAGGTTATTTTATTTTATTTTATTCTTGTGCAAATATTCATTTTTATGCTCTTAATTTACAGTTCATTATTCACATTAACATGTTTCATATTAACTATAATTAAAATAATTTTCTGTATTTAAAAACGAATTTCCAACTCTGCATATAATGTGGTTTAGTCTCAATCTGTGACATGTTCATATTAATTTATTTAACCATCTAGATTAAAGAAATGCTTGCTTCTGATGAGGAGACAGAGTTATCTTCTAAAGTAGAAAAAGCTTATGTTCCAAAGCTAACAGGTAAGAAATTTGAAGGGTAAACTGTAAATAAAATGGTAAAAAAAGAAAAGAGCAAAATATAAAGCCTGTTTTGTATATTCTCAGGAACTGTTAAAGGTCGATTTGCCGAAATGGAGAAACAAAGACAAGAGGAACAACGGAAGAGAACAGAGGAGGAACGGAAGCGCAGAATTGAGCAGGATATGTTAGAAAAGAGGAAGATACAACGTGAATTAGCAAAAAGGGCTGAGCAGGTATACACTAATAATTAAGCTTCAGAAACTACTTTTACAGAGTAAAACTATTCTTTATTTTGCCTAATTAAAATATTTTAATGTAACATGAACCTGTTAAATAGCAGCTAACTTGAAAACAAGATCTTAAGCACAAATATTTAATATCAAATGCCTAAAAGGATACAGGCAGAATGTAGTTTAATGCTGAATACTGAGGTGACTTTTGTTATATACCATCTCATCATTCTATCCACATTCCTTACACTGTCCAAAGTGTTTCTTTTTCTTGACATGTTAGAGGATTGTATAAAGATATTAAACAATTTTGCTCTGGCCGGTGTAGCTCAGTTGGTTGGATCATCATCTGGTACACTGAAAAGTCTCAGGTTCAATTCCTGGTCAGGGCACATACACAGGTTTCTGGTTTGATCCGGTCAGGCGTGTACTGGAGGCAACCAATTCATGTTTCACTCTCACATCAATGTTTCTCTCTCTCTCTCTCTCTCTCTCTCTCTCTCTCTCTCTCTCTCTCTCTTCCTCTCTCTCTCCTTCCCTCTCTCTCTCTAAAATCAATAAAAGCATGTCCTCTGGTGAGGATTTAAAAAGAAAAAGTAAGGCAATTTCACACATATATAAACTACATGCACTTACTAAAATATTGGTCTTTTAATAGCAATCAATAAATACTTGGTTATCATCAAACACTAAGGCATAATTAGCATATCTTTCTACTCAAGAATTTGAAACCAATTAAATCACATTTTATTTAATAATGGTATTATTCACTAGTTTAATTTTATTTTTTTTAAGTTGGGGATGGTAATAGGAGAGAAGAGCAAAATGTGATAGTCATTTCCTTTGTATAACTGATGCCCATAGCCACAAAGGACACATTAGAATTAAAATATTATTACTGTGATTTTATATAGTCTTAACTCAGAGCACGAGAACTAAGAGGCTGGTAAGTATTGTTGAAATACTCAAGAATCTGATATCATTTTCAGAGAAAGTTAATCTCTCAATTATTAATGATTATAATGATATAGAAACTTACAGTTCTAATAGTCATAATTATATTTTAAATAAAAACCACTGATCACAAAAATTTCTTTAATATATTGATATTTGTTTTACATTATGAATAATCTATAGTCATAGAGTTGAAAAGATGACAGAAGAAAGTCGTGTTGTTTATGTGCTTCAACCTTATCTACATTGGAAGATCAAAGGAGATGATCAGTGTTTTGAGCTTTATGAGATAATAATGGTATCTATCTCCTAGAGTAGTAAGAAAGATTACGTGAGTTAATAAATGCAAAGCATTAGACACTTAGAACAGTGTCTCATATAGAATAGTAAGCTACACATACTTAATGTTTAACCTAAATAATAATATAGGTAGATAAAATGTTATGGGACCATTTTAGTTTCTCCTCTCATCAATATTTTAACAAATATTGTAACATAGTCTTTACAGTATATTGTCTCTTTAAAAAACATTTTAATTGTGACATTGTATTTGGCTTTTTTGTGTGTGTGCCTATTCTTTAAGTGCCTTCGATCTATCTGCTATGTTCCTTTCGGCTTCCGCTACCTTTCTAAAAAGAAAAGTGACGAAGAAAGCAAAGCATATGCCATACTTGCATGTCAAAGAAATTTATTTATCCAAACGTTGCAAATAACCACTTCTGTGGCACCAAATAACTTCTTGCATGGTGGCGAACAATGACGTATGCCAGATGAATTATAAACAATAACTGAAAATTCTATTTTCTATGACCATGTACCTCTTCATCTGAGGAAAGGATGGTACACAGTTTACCTCTGCCACCTCCAGTCGTCCAAGTGTAGTATACTTTTTACAATGAAATTTCACAAGGGAATAAAATTATAACAAATATTATAAATTATAAAGATAACATATATAACTATATTTAAATTTATTTATAATATGTTATAAGATAATTAAATATATAATTAAAATACATGGTGTTTGGCAGCAAATAGTGGATATGTACATGGGTGTAGTCTACTTCTTTTAAGTCTGCTGTCCCTTTTCAAAAAAGCACTGATTACTCACTAGATTTTAAGACCCATCACAACGCCAGGTACTGAATAGGTAGGTAGTGGTTTCACAAAGGAAACTATGTATATGTTGAAGAGGTGAGTTTGAACATGATGAATACTTAGGATATTCATAGAGAGATGGAAATAAAATATAATCATGACCACTTTAGTAACCCTTGATACTACATGGCAGGGTGCCGAGAATATTGGTTCATGAAATTTTGTGCCTCTTAAATTATTTGAGAATATTTAGGTAGAACAAAATAAACTATTAATAGCAGTTTTATCTTGAAAATATAGAAAGTCTAATTTTAAGTCCTAATTAAGTACATTTTCTGCTCAAATCTAATAAAATTTAATCTATCTTTGAATATAAGTCAAGTATGACATAGATAGTCAAGAGTCTTAATGTTTGTTTGAAAACTCCACTTATACATGTCCATATTCAAGAATGCTATAGCCCTGGCCAGGTAGCTTAGTTGGTTAGAGTGTCGTCCCGATATGCAAGGTTTCGGGTTCAATTCCTGGTCTGGGCACATACAACCATTGAATGCATAAATGAGTGGAACAACAAATTGATGTTTCTCCCTCTCTCTTTTCCCCCTAAAATCAATCAATCAGTTAAACAAATGCTATAGAAGGGATTCTGAGTCAGGAGGGTGCCTGAGTGAAATTCTTCCCTATACTCTCAATGTCTCCTAGAATCTTTTATTGAGAGATGAATGTGATCTGTAGAGGAATTGTTAGCATCCTTTTTAAGGGAAATAATTTTGTAGTGATTTTATTATAGATCCATTAAATTTTTCCTTATTATAATACATCATTCAATAAAACCTTCACCATTTACATGGCAAATCAGTGTTATAAATAATTCTGTAACAAAGCAAATTATTCTGAACTATTAAAAATAAACTATTAAAATATAAAAATTGACTTATTTTTAATGATTTGTTCAGAATAATTTATTTTTCAAAAAATTTTGTATCTTAATAAAATGTATTCTTTCTTCAACAGAGAATATAGAAAAGTGGGATGATGTCAGAACAGGTACTTAGCTGGCCAGCCCAGTTTCTAGAATGAACCAAGGTACAACAGAATCTCCTTAGGTCGTGTGAGGAACACACTACCTCCAGGCTCGTTCACTAATGTTAAAAATCAAATTAAAACAATAAACAATCTGAATGTTTACTTTCTAACTTCTGATATTTTCCCATTACTTACGTTTCCTTTTCCTGAGATATCAAACATTGCATTCTTTTTTTTTTTTTTTTTTTTATCCTCACCCGAGGATATTTTTCCATTTTTTGTACAGATAGAGTGGGAGGGTGAGAGAGGAAGGGAGAGAGAGAGAGAAACATCGATGTGAAGGGACACATTGAGTGGCTGCCACCCGCACGACCAACCAGGGCCGGGGACAAACTGCAACCGAAGTACGTGCCCTTAGCGGGAACTGAACCCGGGTCTCTCCGGACCGCAGGCTGACACTCTAACCGCTGAGCCAAACTGGCCAGGGCCAAACATTGCATTCTTTAAATCACCTATCTTCTCTCATTTCTCAGTTTGTTGTGTACATTAGTCTGCCCTTCAAGCCAACAATGACGTTTCTTATGAGTAATGGCCAAACAGGGCTCCCTCCTTTGGAATGAGGGCCTTCCCTACCTAGATTTGGTCAAAATATAAACAATTATGACTTCCAGAATTTTTTCCCCTTTCAAAACTAGCCATGTGAAAGCCTAACCTTCCACCACACTCTATTGTCAGTTATATTTCGGCCATATATTTCTATTGTAAAATACAGTCATCATGGTCATTTGATTGCTAATGATAGGTTTTCTTTTGCTGGGGCAGAGACAGAGAGTGGAGAAATCTTTCTGTAACTCAGTTTAAGTGGATAATGTCATTAACAATTGCTGCTTATGTAAGCTCAGTGCCAGGTCATAAGAGTTTGGTCAATTATTCAAATACCAGAATTACAAAGGTAGGCGTTATTTTAAAATTTTCTTAATATATTGTTCTCTAGATATTGATATTTATATCAAAATGCAAAAAAATATATAAGGTTTAATCTCCATTTAAAGGGATGTAATTGTTTAACTTGGAACAACATAAAATATTTCAAAAATATACATTGAAAATGTACCATAAGTCACCACTAAATTATTTTTCCCTTGTATGTTTAAAAGCAAAAAACCCAGAAATCTGATGTAATGTAATGATATGAAATTCTCATTCAATAGATTGAGGACATAAACAATACGGGAACTGAATCAGCATCAGAGGTAAATGGACATTTACTTTAATGAAACATTCACCTAAAACTATCTGATTCACAAATAATCGTTTAATTAAAAATTAAGTCTTTATTCTTTTTATTATAAATACAGCAACAGCAACAAAAAAGGACAAAATATTTTGCAAAGCAAGATCATATCTTTGCACTTTTAAACATTATAGCTTAGTGTTTTTAAAGAAACGTATGTTTTGCTTTCATGATTAGAGACATAAGTATCAGTTTGAGAACTCTGGCAAGACTACATATTTTTTGAACTGACAGTTTAAAAAGGCAGTTTTCTTTTCATCATTTGTCTTCTTTCCTCAGAGTTCCTGATTGTTTGGTTATCACATATTAGTCGAGAGTGCAGTATTTATGTTACCATGAAGAAAAATTTAAGTCACAGAAATTTTAGTTACCCCTTTTTATCTAACAGAAAGTTAAAAAGCAATCAATTTGATGGTGTGCCCCAAACTACAGCCACATAAATTGGAAGCAACAATAAATAATGTAATAGAACTAATTAAAATACATTTAAAAAACTTTAAGAATGTTTTAATAAGATCAAATGCCAAAGAGTTTTGTTTATAAGTCACTTGAAAATACTGTTTTTTCCTCCTCACTAAGTATTGGTTTTACTAAGTATTTAAAAACTTGCATGGGGAGAAAAATCATATGGAGACATTCTGTGTGTGTATAAACTGAATCCATCCACCATCAAATTGATTTAGAGTGCACCCACACACACATTAGCTTTTGTGGGATTAGTGCATGGATAGCTGAATCCAGATAATGTCATGCAGTTTTATTCAAACAGCTGTATTAACACCATCTTCTAGGGAAGAAGATGATCAGCAGTGGATTTGCATGAAATTAACTCATAATATACAATGACTTTGGAGAAAGAGCTATTTAATAAAAATCTGTAAAAATATAAATTTTTGTTCTTTGTAACATTGATGGCAATGTTATGAAATTCACCAGTGATGGAGGTAAAGTCCCATGAAACTTAAATTTTGATTAGGAATAAATATGCTAATTATCTATTTTATAAATTAGGAAGGAGATGATTCACTACTTATAACAGTGGTACCAGTCAAATCACACAAAACATCTGGAAAAATGAGAAAAAATTTCGAGGATCTAGAAAAAGAAAGAGAAGAAAAAGAAAGGGTCAAGTATGAAGAAGATAAAAGGATTAGATACGAAGAACAACGACGATCTCTCAAGGAAGCAAAGTGTCTTTCACTGGTCATGGTAATTTAAAAAATTTTTTTTCTTTATTGATTTTAGAGAGAGAGGAAGGGAGAGAGCGATAGAAACATGATGAGAGAGCATCGATTAGCAGCCTCCATCATGCCCCCCACTGGGGATCAGGACCACAACCTGGGCATGTGCCCTGACCAGGAATAGAACCGGCAACCTCTTGGTACATGGGGTGATGCTCACACTGGCTGGGTGGTAATTTTTTTTAAGGAACAAATCAAAGCAGTTGAGTTGGTTAGCAGCATTTCCCTTTATGGTTAACAGATGAGTTTTTATAATGTTTTCTTAGGATGAAGAACTGGATGGTGAGGCAAAAAAAGAATCAATTTCTCCTGGAAAACTGAAACTAACTTTTGAAGAAATAGAAAGACAAAGACAAGAAAACCGAAGGAAGCAAGCTGAAGAAGAAGCAAGACAACGTTTAGAAGAAGAGAAGCGTGCTTTTGAAGAAGCGAGGCGGCAAATGGTAAAACAAGCATATATACATATAAAACACATTTATATGTAATGATATTCTGTACAATTATATATGTATAGTTATATATTATAAATAACAGACTTTATATTATAATATATAATATACATAATATATAATATAAATTACATAACATAATTATATATAAAACCTTTACTATTAGAGAAGGCAGCTGGCCTTAGATAAGGTTTATTCCTTTGAATTCAAGGAGATTTTTGTCTATAAAAGTGTCTGATTTTGAAACTGTAAACATATTCCATATACAATATGCATCTGTATTATATTCCATTTCAGGACATTTTATCTAATACACTTAAAATTTTGTTTTTATAAATTGTAAATATGCAGAATAATTACTCTATGACTCTGGTTTCTCTTCGTTAGCTCAGCCTGTAATGTATTTAACATCAGGGTGCAGCACACTTTCAAGTCTATTCATAAATGTACCTTAGTTTCAGTCCAGTTTTTCAAATGTTTGAACATGTCAAAAGAATTTTTCTATGGAATATGCACTTTGCTATATAAAGTATGTATGTGTATATATATGTATATACAGAGGTGAGCAAAAGTAGGCTTACAGTTGTTTTTAAACCTGCTTTTGCCTACCCCTGTATATGTGTGTATGTGCATCTATAGATATGTACGTAATGTAATCATTAAGAACATGAGCTTTGAAGCCAGACTGCCTGGATTCAGATATCTACCATTAAAGTGTGTAACCACAGACAAGTTATTTAATCTCTCTGTCTTAGTTTCCTCATTTATAAAATTGTGAAAATAATTGTGCCTGCTTCTTAATTGTTAAAAGAATTAGTACAGAAAGCAGTTATAGTACTGTCTGGCATATAATAAGTGCTTTAAAAACATTAACTCTTATTATTATATTAATAGATTTATAAATGAGAAATAAAATTGAAATAAGAAAACACCAATTTCAAATTTCATAAGAATTTAAAAATGGAACATCTATAATTTTTAAATGCTTTTCGAATTTCTTGACCAACTTTTATTAATGATGTTCTAAAGACTGTAGCTCCCAAATTTTAATTTTATTTGAAAATGTTACTACTTTTGGGTAATCATAGTTGCATAATATCTACACAATTTAGCTATCACTGGTGCTCAGTTTTAGTGAACTGAAATAAAAATATCATAAATTAATCAAATAATAAATTTTAATGAATTTAACATTAAATTAGAATTTAAATTATAAAAATCATGAAATTTGAATTTTCCATAATTCCAGATAATAATCTTTGATCTGATTAGTATAAAGAAAAGTACCATAGTTTATGATAATTATAAAATGAGAACTTTGTGTTACCACCAAAGAGACTATGTAGTTATATTTGAACCTCAATTTAAGTACACACACCCATACACACACACACACAACACACACGTTATGCTTGATCTAGGAAAGTTAATGTTAACTCTTAAATGACCCCTTACATTTTTTAAATGCTCATCTTGTTTATTTAAAAATTTGACTTGCTTGAGAAGTTTTATTTAACTTGAGAATATATTTATTTGGAATTTCTCCAAATCTGAATATTTTAATTATATAAAACATTAGAAAAGAAGGGGATTTTGGTCAAGTATATTAAGGGCTAAGAAACATTTCCGTATGAGGTGGCTGCTTCTGTGCCTTTTGATTGATCATTCCTGTCTTTGATGAATCGCAGTTCTCAGAAGTGAGTTGTTTCTCGGTTAGGTAAATGAAGAGGAGGACGACCAAGACACAAAAAACATTTTTAAAGGGTACCGCCCTGGTAAACTCAAACTCAGTTTTGAAGAGCTAGAAAGACAAAGGAGAGAAGAGGAAAAAAGGAAAGCAGAAGAAGAAGCCAGAAGGAGAATCGAGGAAGAAAAGAAGGCATTTGCTGAAGCACGGAGAAGCATGGTAAGACAGCATGTCACTGAAGATCACCAGTGGGATTCAGGCAGGTTTTTAGAGTATGTTCAGAAACCATTAAACTTTGGGGGGACACCCTATTGTTTCTGAAATTTGTGCCAAGAGTAGGAATAGCAAATAAGTTTTATTTTTTATTTTTTTAAAATCTTTATTGTTGAATGTAGAATATATTACAGATGTTCCACATTTTTCCCCCATTGACCCCCTCTTCCTCACTCCCGCCCCCCCTCGCCTTTTCCCACACTATTGTCTGTGTCCATTGGTTATGTATATAAATTCTTTGGTTTATTTCTTTCCACCCTCCAACCCCTTTCCCTTTGAGGTTTGTCAGTCTAGCAATGAATTTGTACTTCTTAATCCCTTCACCTTTTCCACCCATTCTCCCAACCCCCTCCCAACTGGCAACCAACAAAATGTTCTCTGTATCTATGAGAATGTTTCTGATCTACCTGTTCATTTTGTTTGTAGATTCCATTGTCGATAGATATGTATTCATTGCCATTTTGTTTGTTCATATATTGTATCTTTTTCTTCAAAAAGACCCTTCATCATTTCATATAATAACGGTTTGGTGGTGATGAACTCCTTTAACTTTTTCTTGTCTGGGAAACTCTTTATATGTCCATTGATTCTAAATGACAGCTTTGCAGGACAGAGTAATCTTGGTTGTAGGTTCTTGCTTCTCATCACTATGAATATTTCTTGCCACTCCCTTCTGGCCTGCAAAGTTTCTTTTGAGAAATCAGCTGACAGCCTTATGGGAACTCCCTTGTAGGTAACTAGCTGCCTTTCTCTTGCTGCTTTTAAGATTCTCTCTTTGTCTTGAACCTTTTTGCATTTTGATGATGATGTGTCTTGGTGTGGGCCCCTTGGGGTTCATCTTGTTTGGGGCTCTCTGTGCTTCCTGGACTTGTATGTCTGTTTCCTTCACCAAATTAGGAAAGTTTTCTGTCATTATTGTTTCAAACAGGTTTTCGATTTCTTGTTCTTGCTCTTCTCCTTCTGGCACCCCCGAGATACGAATGTCGGCACGCTTGAAGTTGTCCCAGAGGCCCCTTACACTATCCTCATTTTTTTGAATTCTTTTTTCATTTCGCTGTTCTGATTGGGCATTTTTTTGCTTCCTTATATTCCAAATCGATGGTTTGCTCCTTGGATTTACGTACTCTAGTATTGAAGCTGTGTAAATTATTCTTTATTTCAGTTAATACCTCCTTCAATTCTGACTGGTCCTTTTTTATGCCCTTGAGGCCCTCACTAAGTTCACTGAGGTTCTCAATGAGTTCATTGAGCATCCTTATAAGCAGTGTTTTGAACTCAGCATCTGTTAGGTTGCTTATCTCCATGTCGCTTAGTTCTTTTCTTGGGGTTTTGTTCTGTTGTTTCATTTGGGACCTGTTTCTTTGTATCCTCATTTTGGCTGCCTCCCTGTGTTTGTTTCTGTGTATTACTTAACAAGAGGTATGGGCTAGTTGAGACCAGATGCTGCTCATTTGAAAGAATTTAGGAAAAACCTGAAGCAGGATCCAAGACAGGCCAATCCTATGGTTAAGCAAGTGGCAACAGCTTGGGTGGGCCTGAAAGTTGGGTGGGGTGGGGCGGGGCCTCAGGGAGTCACCAGGGCGGGGCTACCAGTGTGAGCCAGGTTGCTGGAGTCCCAGATATGGCCACTGTCTGCCACCCCAGGGAAGGGCTCACCAAAGGAACAAAGGCCTCTGACAGCACGTTTGTCCCGGAGAAAGTTCCCTCTCCAGCCCTCGCTCCAGTGCCAAACAGCTCAGTTCTTCCCTGTGTGTCTCTGGTGCCCCTCGAGCTGCCTCCCCTCCGAGCTTAGAGGGAGGGAGTCTGATAAGTCCGTGCGCGGGCCCTTTAAGGAGCTGCCTGGGGCTCCAGCCTCCTCAGCTTCCCTGAGCCTCAGTTCCCACTGGTTTTTCCAGCCAGAAGTTATGGGGACTTCTCTTCCTGGCACTGGAACCCTGAATGGGGCATCTGGTGTGGGACAGTCCTCAGGAAGGACCTTCCCAGCCGAAGTATCCTCCTGATTTTTATCCGCCACACGTGGGTGTGGGACCAGCCCTTCCGCCTCCGCCCCTCCTACCAGTCTGGATGTGGCTGCTGCTTTAATTCCGTAGTTGTAGGACTTCCATTCAGCTTGATTTCAGGCGGTTTTGAATGATGGTTGTTCTGTAGTTTAGTCGTAACTTTGATGTGGTTGTGGGAGGACGCGATACCGCTTTTACCTACGCCGCCCTCTTGACCGGAAGTCCAGCAAATAAGTTTTAAAATCTCCTGTAGCATAACACCTGTCAGTTGAAGGCATTGGCTTCAAAGCGGTGTCGAGAAGGTTCTGATTAAATTGCTGTGTTGAATATTGTCTTCCCTCTCTGGGTAAGCATGTTTTCCAGAACAAAGTATCCAAACAGGAAGTTTCCTATCCCCACCTTTCCTTGCCTCCTCTCCCTTCCCACATTTCCTCCTTCCCCCCTTCTCTTTTCAATTGCCATCCCATCCGGTGTATAACAAATGACCAAAGCCATTTAATCACCATTATTTGACTCCAAAATGCTCACCCATCACTTCCGGATACTGCTACCAACCTCAACTCTCACGGAGTCATACTTCTTGTACCATTTTAATGTTTATAAAATGTACAGTTGTCTGACAAACTTTATTTAAAGAAAGTTGGCATGTGAACACTGCGTCTCCTTGAAACACTTTACTTGGCCTCAGTGGCTGGCTTTCTTCCTGTGTCTGGGTGAGCTTCAAGTACGTCTGTCCAGGTGTTATTTGTCTTCATTGCCCACCCAGATACTCAAATCAGAAACTTTGGAGCCTTAAATACTTCCACCTTCTCATTCATGCCTCACATCCAGTCATTCCTACGTTTCATTTATTCTACCTCCTAGATCACTCTAAAAATCTATCATTTTTCCACACTTCCCACATCGACTGCTGTAATCCAGCTCACTGTTACCCCCTGCCTTGGGCCAACTGCTAATTAATTTGCATTCTTGCCTATAATCCATTCTTTTCTTAAAGCCAGGAGTGATCTTTCTCAATGAAAAAAAAAAAAAAATTGAGCATGTTAAAAATGTTCCACTTTCCTGAAGCAAAACAAACAAACAAAAAAACCAACCACAAAAACTCTTAGATTTCTATATCATCTTTCCCTGGTATATTTCTCCAGTTTCAATGTCTTGATTCTTCTTTGATTTGTCAGACACATTAATTTTTTCCCCGTTCTTCAAAATGCTGTGCTCGTCACGTCAAGTGAAGCTCTGCTCTCTCCTGGTCATATAGTCTGTTTTCTCTGGGAAGCCTTTCGTGCTAACACAAGTTCCAGAGAAGCGGTCCTTATATGTATTCTCAGAACGTGTAGGCCTCACCCAGCGTAACACGAATGCCGTATTGTCGTTGCTCATGGTTGTCTTTCTCACTTAGTGAGGCTGAGACCATTCATCACGCATGTGGAACAACACATTCAAGCATAAAAAAATTTCCTATAAATGTTTGTGGAAGAAGTGATAGTAAAGCTATCTTATGTGTATTATGAGGTAATCCTTGCTTCATAAAAAGCGTCTCCACAGAAACCCTGCAGACACTGTGAAAGCACCTACTTTTTGTCGATTAAGCAGGTTCAGAAGTAGAGGAGGAGCGGCTGTGGAGTCAGGAGCTCCGATCCTGGCGGCAGTTTTAGGGCCTGACTGCTGTTTTGCCAGGATTCACTAGTGGAAAAGTGCAGGGAAGGAGAACTATGTTAAAGCCAAAGTCTGGTTTTCTAGAGACATTTTTGTTATCAGAAAAGAAAAGAGAAAGTCTTCCCTTCATTTATATTGTTTTCTGATCTAGGGCCAAGTATCATAATTTCTTACTATAGATCAGTTAATTCATATATCAATAAAAATTTTTTTTTGCAATCTTTGGATTGTAAGACCATATAAACACTGTTTCTGAGTTGAACCGGTTCTTTGGTAAAACCTGTCATATATACATCTTAGAACAAATACCTGTTGCCTCTCTCATTCCCCAATGTCTGTTTCAGGCCAGAAGTTTATGTATACACTTTTGGAAGATAGAAAAGGAGAAGTAGTTAATTGCTCTTCATGGTAAAATGTATTCCAAGTCAATAATTTAAAAGCAAAGTTTCTAATGGCAGTTTAGAGATTGCCTATATACAGGGAATGATAATGTAATAATAAAACTTCCATTTTATTATTACCACGGTGTCAGGCACACTGCTAAGTGTTTCCAAACTTTATTTCGTTCTCATGACAACTCCATGAAAGTTGTCACAGATAAGTAAACTCAGACTTTGGCTAGATAACTTGCCCAAGGTCACATCTAAACGGCAGTTAGAATAGACAGACAACAGGATGGTGATTTCAAGAGGGAAAGGGGGTGGGGGGGAGGCAGGAAAGAGTAAAGGGGAGATAAATGGTGATGGAAGGAAACTTGACCGGGGCTGGTGAACACACAGTACAATACAGATGATGTGTTATAGAACTGTACCCCTGAAACCGATATAATTCTATTAACCAGTCACTCCAATAAATTCAATAAAAAAAGTTTTTCCTCAAGAAAAAAAAAAAGGCAGTTACACATGGAATTCATGAAAGTATTAAAAAAGTCTTAATCATTATTTATAATTTTATTATAGAAACTTTTAAGTTCTGAACCCTACTGTTGCCATTTATTATGTGTTGATTTCAAACAAGTTACTTTTCAGTGCCTTGTTTTCTATAAAATGGGGATATTAGTAATTCCTATTTCGAAGGGTTACAGGATAAAATAAGTCAACACATACAACATGCTTAGAATTGTACCTGGCAGCTGTAAGTATTAACTATGATTGTTTATTTTTCATTAGGCTGACCGCAAATAAATCAGTACAATAAAATCAGAGCATTGAGTAATTTCTGCCTGATTATGAAGGGATCATGATAGGTTATCTAATTCATTCAGACAAAACCATGACTGAACTGAAATGCTCCATGTTAACTATCAGAGGCATGCTTTAATCCAATTAATACAGTTCAATATTAGAAAATCTTAATGTCTAGTTGAAATAACTAATAGTATAAAATCAAAGTATTTCTTTGTATTCATTAATAGATGGTCACTACTTGCTCTATAGTCACAAAATACCTTAGGTCTAAGGTTTTCTAATAATTCCTCCTTTGTTTATTGTTTTATACTTTTGAAAAGAATTTAGGTCTCCTGGTTTTATAGTTCAATGTGAAATCTTTGTACTCCAGCAATCAGTTTCTACAATATTCCCCTTTTAGTATGTATAATTCTGGCAAAAGTGATAAAAGAGTTATTTTAAATAGGTGGTAGATGATGATTCCCCAGAGATGTATAAAACAATCTCTCAAGAATCTCTTACACCGGGAAAACTGGAAATTAATTTTGAAGAATTATTAAAACAAAAAATGGAAGAAGAAAAACGACGAACAGAGGAAGAACGGAAGCATAAACTAGAAATGGAAAAACAGGAATTTGAACAACTGAGACAAGAAATGGGAGAGGTAAGGTTTTAAGAAATATCCACTTATATTCCACAAATATTCATTAATCAAAGTATTTTACATGTGTTTCCTTATAATAACTTTGTTAGTATCATTCACATAAAGAACATGCAACATACTCCAGTGAGGCACTTGATACAAGTTTCAACATAGCTACGTGCATCTCTACCCTGCCATAGCTCTACTTTCTCACTAGTTTAAAAAATATAGAAGATTGCAGGTGACTGAGACATACTACAGCACCTTAAGAAAACATGTATTCCTATATACCTCACAATTTATGTGATTATATCATGACTGAGAGCTGTTGTTCTACAGTACTTAATATACACAATTATATTTGTTACTATCTTTGAAAGAAATAGAATTAAATGGATAAATTTAATCAATATAAGAACTAAAGGAGTGCCATGGATACTAATAGGAACATCAGTTTGGCAGGTCTTTGAGTCATTTTATTTTAGTAAAGATAGAACTTTGATGCTGTCACATATTTTACTATGGCTTCTCTAGTGTTGGAATGAAATGCGCGCGCGCACACACACAGTACATCTGCATGGGCATACCACTTGTGCCCTCACAGAACCCTATGTTCAGAAGTGTCGTGCTTAGTGGTTTAACGGTCTCAGGTTGCCATCTTGAAATGTTTAATAATTTCATTTTTAAATTTGTGTGTTTTAAGTGAAAGCTGATTGGACAATGGGGCATGTGCTTGAATCTTAAGAGTCTTGGCTCACCCACATATCCTGCTGTCTCTCTGCTTCCCCATGGTGGGTTCTCAGCACCTCCTGATGCCTTCAAAGCCCTAACTTTCTCCTTTGTGCCCCTGGATGCTGCAGCCCACCATCTGGATGGCCAACTAGGCAGAGGAAAGAGAGAGGGCGGGGGCCAGGATTCCAACATCTCACTTGGCCACTGGTTTGTGGGGAGGGGCTGACAGCAACATGACCAGGGTTGGGGAACAGCCCACCGCCTTACTTGGGGCAAGGGGTGCAGTGGCTGTCCTAGACTAGCAGTGACACAGCATGTTTGGCAGGTGACTTGATGGGAGATCCTTGCCAACTTCTGATCTAGGAACTGAGTGGGTTCCTATGCAGAGGTTGTAATCTCTTGGAAGTTGCCTCATTGTCATGGGCTAGGTCATCTGGCCTGTGGGGATCTTTACTTCCTTGCTCTCACTGACCAAGAGACTATAAATGCTGTGTAAATACATAGTTAATAAAATAAGAATATGCTGTCCTGGCTGGTTTGGCTCAGTGGCTAGAGCGTTGGCCTGTGGTCCAGAGAGACCGGGGTTCGGTTCCCACTAAGGGCATGTACCTCGGTTGCAGTTTGTCCCCGGCCCTGGTTGGGTCATGTGGGTGGCGACCACTCGATGTGTCCCTTTCACGTAGATGTTTCTCTCTCTCTCCCCCTCCCACTCTATCTGAATGTCCTCCGGTGAGGATTAAAAAATAATAAAAATAAAATAAAATAAAATAATAATATGCTGTAGGAATATATTCCAAGGTTTAGACTTTAAAAAGCAATAACATGCCCTGGCCGGTTTGGCTCAGCGGTTGGAGCGTTGGCCTGTGGTCCAGAGAGACCCGGGTTCGGTTCCCGCTAAGGGCACGTACCTCGGTTGCAGTTTGTCCCCGGCCCTGGTTGGTCGTGCAGGTGGCAGCCACTCGATGTGTCCCTTCACATCGATGTTTCTCTCTCTCTCTTCCTCTCTCTCCCTCCCGCTCTATCTGAACAAAAAATGGAAAAATGTCCTCGGGTGAAGATAAAAATAAATAAATAAATAAATAAATAAATAGCAATAACATTTTATAAAGGAAGCTGAAAATGAATTTAGAAAAGTTTTAAATTAGGACATATTTCAGTATACTATTGAGATATAATCTAATTAATATATAGCAGAATAACTGTCAGACTTTCTGGTGCTACTGACTTACCCCACTACGTGGAGTTCTCAAGCAAGCAGCACACCAATTCCAAGATCATGTAGACTGTGGCTGATTAGTTCAATCATTAATTTTGATCAGAATTTTTTGGGAACCATTGTGATATCATGTGTACCATAAATGTGATAGTTTCTGGTATTTTAAGAGTTGCCTGTTTTCACCCCTAGATGAAAAAGTAGAGGCAGTGTAAAGAAAACGCCTCCCCCCGCCTCCTCAGATGAACCAAGAAATTAAGTCTCATGTCAAATCCACTGTGACTACTCCTCCAACCGCTGCCTCCCCCACCTCCTCAGTTGAGAACTCTAGATCTTCTTCAGGAAAAGTGTACCAGGAATAACTGCAATATTTTACCACTCCATTTAGTGCAGTGGTTCTCAACCTTCCTAATGTCGCGACCCTTTAATACAGTTCCTCATGTTGTGGTGACCCCCAACCAGAAAATTATTTTCATTGCTACTTCATAACTGTAATTTTGCTACTATTATGAATTGCCATTGGAAATATGTGTTTTCCGATGGTCTTAGGCGACCCCCGTGAAAGGGTCGTTTCCACCCCCAAAGGGGTCGCGGCCCACAGGTTGAGAACCACTGATTTAGTGAGATCAGGGATTAGAGTAAGTATACAAAGAACTAGTAATCATAAACTGTGAAAAGTCAAGAGAAAGGAATCTGAATAAAAAGTTTTCAAGATAAAATGGTAAAAAGAAAAAAAAAAAAAAGATTCCACCCTGGCCGGGTTGGCTTAGTTGGTTGGAGCGTTGTCCCATACCCCGTAAGGCTGCGGGTTTGATTTCTGGCCAGGGCACATGACTAGGTTGCAGGTTGGATCCCTGGTTGGGGTATGCAAGGGAGGCAACTGATGGGTTTCTCTCTCTTCCTCTCTAAAAATCAATAAAAGAATATCTTTGGGTGATTATTAAAGAAAAAGTGTAAAATGAAGAGACACATACTTCCTTTAAAAAATGATTAGATCCTAATTTTGGTTGACTCCTTTTCTATTTTTCTTGGCACAATATAAAATTGAGAATACAAGTGATACGTAGTGAAATGTAGGGATTTGACCAGACTGTATCTGTAGAGGTGCTTAATTCAGTTGAGTATTAAGATAGATATTTAACTTTATTAAGCTATCATCAAATCAAAGGCAAAAGGAATTTAAAGATACTGACTCTATATGGATGAACAGATCATATCCAGTGAGTTAAGTAAAAGGCCACACTATGTTGGAACAAGAACGTTATCTGACTCCTACCTAGCTCAGTGTTCTTTGAACTGTTTCTTCACCTTCTCCTAAACAAAACTCTTCCTCCAATTTCTAGTAAAAGCTAATTTTGATATGTGTATTTTAATTTTAGCAGGTTATAATGAAATGTTAAATGAGGTTTGAGCTACACTCCCTAATAAGAAAATATTTTAAATGAAATAAGGTGTTACCTAGTCTTAAATTTATGGTACTTTTAAAAATCTTTATTATTAAAAGTATTACAGACGTTCCTCTTTTTTATGGCACTACTTTTAATTAGCAAGTTTTGGTATTGTATTCAGAAAGGTTGTTTATTCTTTATTTTTGGTTTTAAATAGGAAATGGTGAACACTTTTTTGATGGTTTATTGTACAAACTAATTTTCTGGCATTTAACATATAAAATTATCACTTCTTTAAGGAAGAGGAAGAAAGCGAAACCTTTGAATTGAGCAGGGAATATGAAGAATTAATCAAATTAAAAAGGAGTGGCTCTATTCAAGCTAAAAATCTAAAAAGCAAGTTTGAAAAAATTGGACAACTGTCAGAAAAAGAAATACAGAAAAAGATAGAAGAAGAACGAGCAAGAAGGAGAGCCATTGACCTTGAAATTAAAGAGCGAGAAGCAGAAAACTTCCATGAGGTATACTATTTTACATTTAACATAGTTATGGTACAGTAATGATTCAACAGAAGTAACATTGGCTTTGAAATAAGTTTTGGTACTTACAATTAATCATAGGTGTGTATGGTAATTTGGGAACTAAATAGAAAAAGCACATTTGGCTATTAAGAGACTTTGAAATATTTCCCCACTCTAGCACTGCCTCAGATTTTTATTAGAATTAAAGGCAATAGTGAACAACAAATGTTTCACTTTAGCAAAAAAAAAAAAAAGTTCAAAAGTATTTATTGATGTAAGTTTTAGTTTGAATCAGTACAACCAATGTGTATTTGAGTTAAAATAAACTCGAGATTATTCACTCACTTTATTTAAAGATGAGGCCAACAGCCCTGGTCGGTTTGGCTCAGCGGTTAGAGCATCAGCCTCTGGACCAGAGTCCCGGGTTTGGTTCCCGCTAAAGGCACGTACCTTGGTTGTGGTTTGTCCCCAGCCCCGGCTGGCGTCGTGTGGGTGGCAGTCGGTCGATGTGTCCTCCTCACATCAATGTCTCCCCCCACTCCCCCACCCCGGCTCACTCTATCTGAAAATGAATGCAGAAGTGTCCTCAGGTAAGGATAAAAAAAATAAAGATGAGGCCAATAAACCCCAAATCACTTGCCCAGTCATGCAATAATTGAATGGCAGAGCCTAAATGAAAATTCAGATAACATGAATTTGAAGTACCTCCAAATGTAAAATGAGGCAACCACTAAATGACCTATAATGTCCCTTCCAGTTTGAGGACTAGTTCCATGGGTATGGAAATTGGTTTAAATAGGACCTAGATATTTTCTTCTGCCAGAATTGGTGTTGCAATACTTAGCAGCATTTAACCAATATTCCTCTAAAAGTGCATTTTTATCAGACATTCAACTAGTAAAACAGGCGTGGGAAGGCCTCCAGAGATTGTGAATAAAAAGAAATTCTATGCAAAATCTCAAGACTATAAGCAATTCATTATTACCGAGGCAAGCAGAGTGCAAGTACAGGCGAGGTGATCACAGAAGGCTGTAGATGCCACATCAAAGAACTTCAGTTATTGGGCTGCACTGAGGGATTTTTTAAAAATGGAGTGATATCAGATTAGCATCTTTATAGCTGAATCTAAAGGTGGTTTTTGACTCACATATGAAAAATTACTTGAAAACCTAGTATGTTCCAGGTTCTGTTCTGGACATTGGGACTACACTGTTTGAGCTGTTATTTGGATAAGGTAAAAGCAAACTGAAACAGGTACTGAGCTCAGGGGAGAGGCAAGAACTAGGGATTGTAACTTTTATGGGTTGTAGTATAAAGTACAGAAGATAAAACCATCTTCAGTTGATACTTTATAGGTGAATAACAAAACCCTGGAGAACACCAATATTTAATGGATGTTTGGTCACAAGATCAGTTGGTTCTTTAGAAAGATAAACATATCACTGTAAAGTTCTATAAGCATGCACTTAATTCCTTTTTGTTGCTAAAAGTAATACCTAGCCCGGTACAATATGTGAGGTGGTGATTCTTTTTATTGCTATGATCGGCTCTTTTGTATGAAAGGATATGAGATTAGGACATGGTTGATCTATAACCCATAAGGATGGCCTGGTGTTTTCTATGAAGGATGCTGACATTCCTTTGACCATATCCTGGCAGTTGATTGCACTCGATGCCAAAACTGTGCTAACACAAGTTTTTAAAGATATCTCAATGACCCTTAGACCAGAGTGATAGAACCGCCACACTTTCTGATTATGTATCTAGTTCTCTCCTTTATAAAATGTCAATGTTCAACATGTCTTCTATTCCAGACATCTTTCAAGGACTCACTCATTCATGTAACCTTACCTAATCAAAGAAGTACATTCCAGTTCCTGTAGCCCTTAAACACGGACCACTCATTTGGTACTTACAACTTAATTGCCTTATAGTGTTTGATATAAAATTTCCTAACAAGGTATACGCCAAAACCATCCCTATGCTCCCTTTTATCTCAAATTTATTAATTATACTGTCTTTTAAAAATTCATGTGCTGAGATATCAGTGCCCAAATACACCTGGAGAACAAAAGTTATTCTATTTACTGTGTTTCTCTTAGGAGATACACTTCCTGTAACATTGTTTAATCTGGCTTTTCAGGGACTCAAAAAAAGGCACCATTTGTCCTGGCTGGGTAGCCCAGGAGGTTAGAGTGCCATCCCGATATGCCACAGTTGCGGGTTCCATCTCTGGTCAGAGCACATACAAGAATCAACCAATAAAAGCACACACATAAGTGGAACAGCAAATCAATGTCTCGCTCTTATAACAGAAAGATTGTTCATAACTTTTTCCAAGTTAGCTTAGGAGGAATTCTTATCATTAACATGCATTTTTGAGCCTATTTTAAAACTATAACAACAATAAAAAGTATGATTTTCCAACATAAAATAAAAATCTGATTCAGGAAAACTATCCAACATATTCAAATTCCTTCTTTTACACTCACTGGAACTTAGGTGCAATACCTCAAACTGATGTAAAGCTTCCAAAAAAAACAAAACTATTTTACAGCTTACTTCAAAATTTAGTTGGGTGTGGTATGCTGAAGCAATATTCCTCATTCTGTGATATATAATATAGTGGTATCTCCAGATAGACCCACAAAAAGCCGTTTCAAAACTGTCAAATGACTAAAACACTTTAGAAACCATGAATTAACTATATCTACATGAATCCACTCTTCTAAAACTCTGAGGCCATCAGTGATCTCAGCACCAAATTGATTTTATAGGCTCATAGTTTGACAGCTGAAACACTACTCTTAAATTACTCTCAATCTTAATTATTTCGTTTCCAACTCGATTCCCTAGAGGACTCACAACCACTTTTCACATCAGTGACTTCCCCAAGTTCGTCACTGCCTCTCAAGTTGTTTTCCTTTTTGTTCTACCTGCACTCTTCTCTGCCATTTGACCATCAATAAATTTGTTGGATGGAATTAATCTGAAAAACAGTTATTCACTAGGTAGGGCAACAAAGAAAATCATGAAGTGGGAAATAAGGGAGTATTTTAATTGTTACAATATGTAGTACACCTCCATCCTTTTCTGTTATTCAGTACAGTCAACAAGCACTGATGGTTGGAGAAATAAAGACACTGGGATTCCACTGATATTGCACGATCTTTACATTGGGAGAAAAGGGTTCTAATTGTTAAGAGAAATGTTTCACAAATAAAATTTTCTTTCCCCAAATTAAGGGACAGTAAAAATTTTCATCTGTAATGTAGCACAAACATGCACACAAAATATGTTATTTCACGCCTATTATAAACAACAACTTCACAACTATTAAGGTGGTTTTTGGAAAATGAGAAATTCTTATTCATGGCCCACTTTTTTAAAGGAAGAAGATGTTGATATAAAACCTGCAAAAAAGAGTGAGGCCCCATTTACTCATAAAGTGAATATGAAAGCTAGATTTGAACAAATGGCTAAGGCAAGAGAAGAAGAACAACAAAGAAGAATTGAAGAACAGAAGTTACTACGCATGCAGTTTGAACAAAAGGAAATCGATGCAGCACTACAGAAGGTACCAAACACATCCTTTATTTTCCAAAGATGCCCTTAAAAACCAGTTTTATGAGGGGTAAAAAATCATTTTGAGAAGTCACTGGAATGTTTTGCAAACATTTCATACTGTATCTTTAATGTAGCTTTTTTATGTTTACATATCCAAATACCAGTGTTACAATTCCCCACATTATTCAGTACCGTAACATGCTATACAAGTTTGTGGCTTAGGAGCAACAGGTTACACCATCTAGGTTTGTGTTAAGTGTACTCTGTGATGTTTACATAATGACCAAATCACCTCATGATGCATTTCTCAGAACATACCCTGTCGTGAAGTAGTGCACAAATGTATTTACTTTGGGGGGTAAAAAAAAACATGTTTACCTTCAAGATTGTTAATAACCCACTATCCTGAAAATGCTGCTTTAGTAAACTTGACAACTTGAATGCATTTATTTTAATATAGAAAAGAGAAGAGGAGGAAGAAGAAGAGGGTAGCATCATGAATGGCTCTACTATCGAAGATGAAGAGCAAACCAGATCAGGAGCTCCATGGTTCAAGAAGCCTCTAAAAAACACTTCGGTTGTAGATAGTGAGCCTGTTAGATTTACGGTTCAAGTAACAGGAGAACCCAAACCAGAAATTACATGGTGGTTTGAAGGAGAAATGTTGCAGGATGGAGAAGACTATCAATATATTGAAAGAGGGGATACGTACTGCCTTTATTTACCAGAAACTTTCCCAGAAGATGAAGGAGAGTATATGTGTAAAGCGGTCAACAATAAAGGCTCTGCAGCTAGTACCTGTATTCTTACAATTGAAAGTAAGAATTAATCACTTTTTAAAAATCGCATACTTTTTATTCTACTTAAAAATTTTTCCTTTAAAAAGAATCACTTTTCTTCTTCTTTTTTAGCTGATGACTACTAGCTTCCTTTCCCTCTGCCTGGAACTATTTCTCTCTCTCCGACTTTCTTACATCCATCTTTTCTGTGGCGGGGCCAAAAAAGGAAACCAGAAGTGCTACCATGTTGACTTCTTATTCCTTTTCAAAGTCTTCACAACACAAGCTCATCTGAAGAATATCTTCTCTTCTTCCTTTCCAAATAAGCACCAGATTCATCACCATATTAAGCAGAAGTTAATGTGCATTTAATAGGGAAAGTGGGAAATTTACTCAAATATTATATCAGAATCTATTACAAAGGCTGTGCATTTCCTATAAGTTCACAGCAATGTTTAAAAATATAAACAACATTATTTTGCATGAAAGAATGCCATCTATGAGCTATTTACACCTAAAATTAGTCTGAAATAGCTGAGAGAACGAATTTGGAACCTATCAATTTGGGAGTTTTTCTTTAGTACATCATTTTGGTTGTTGTAGTTTCAGTGTCTTTCTGAAGTAGATGTAGGAGGGGGCTGGGGTATCAGTCTTTTTTATGGAAAAAGGGGAGCATGGAGAAAAACACAAGAATTAAAGATTTTAAAAAAACAAATGCCAGAGGAAACTGGATGCAAACCACTGCCCACACAGAGTTCTGAGTGTTGAGAATAATATTAAATGTACTTTTCAAATGTGTGTAATATATGCTGCTCAAATTATGTTGTGGCCTTGCCGGAACAAATTATATTTCAATGAGAAACTTTGTATTAGTAGTCATACAGGAGAAAACACTTGTAACATAATTTCAAGATCTAAGAGGATTAGATTTAGGGGGGAAATGGCACAATCTTCCATTTTAAATTCTGATCTTTAAAATGAGTTTGTAAATATTAGCTACCATGTTCTATTATCAAGTTGTTTTATATTTTAATTTTCTGGAAGACAATTTTATTTTACAATGTAAACCCATAATAAAGTACCTTCTATTATTAAAAATGTCTCAGCATTTTGGAAAAGAGACAAAACACTCCCTTATATTATTCATCAATGTACATTTATTTCTTTTTATTGAGGAAACCATAATACAAAATTACAGCAATCATGTGTCCTTTCACATACAATGTAATTAAAGCAAACTCTAAACCACAGTTTGTAAAGTATTCAATTTACCTCAAGTCCAAGCTGCATCTCCCTAAGACACTGTTCCCATCACAGTAGCCATTTTAAGCCAATCTTCTTTTTACACACGGGTAGTTTCTGTAGAGAACACTTTTCTCAGGACGAAAATGCATCGAGCATGCATAAGAAAATATATATATATATATATGTGCAAATACATTTAAGAGTTTCTATAGGGGTATAAATGAAGAAAATAAAACCCTGGGATTTATTTGCTTCTTAGAAGCACCAATGTAAAAAAATCCCTCAGAAATTTATACTGTGGCAATAAAACTCAAGTGACTAAACAAAAATAAGGTTATTTTCAGACTCAAAATTATCTTTAGGTTTTGTTAAAATACATTTTTAAATGAGGCAGAATTTTCAAGAAATAAAATAAGACATCCTCATTGATTGCTAATTTCTACATCCCTATTCTAGACAACAGCTAACTTTGCACATTGAACTAATTCTCCTGGCAGAGTCTTCACACAAATGAAATGTTATCCCTTCTTATTTCCCTCCTAAGGTACTGAAACTCCTACCAAACCCACCCTTATGAATTAACTACCAAGGTATTTGTCTAAGGATATATTTTACAGTGTTTATAAACAACTAGTATTAAAACCATTTTCATTAATTAAAAATAAAAGCATATGTCTCATTTCTAAAAGAAACATCAAAACATACGAATTTTAGGTATCACCATACTAAAATATCTTAAAAAAACAACACATTGTCAAAATTTTAAGTGCTAAATAAATCAGTTCAATTTCAATCTAAACTAAACATTGTTACTACCACTCCTAACATCCATTGCATTCAAACCAACTGGCTCACCTTTTCAGCTTTCCATTTATTTCAAGGTTAAGATTAGCGCCATTTAAAAAATGCTTGCAGTATCAGTGAAGGCTTATGGTAATAAAAAATTCTTGTGAGACAGAAACAATGTTCCAATATCTATTAGCATTCATCTATATTTTCTTTCGTAAAAATGCAAACTACAGCTAACCCAAACTTGACAAGCTCTTGAAGTTCAAAGAGCTCCTTTATATTATCAATCTTAACATACCTATCATTGACTCTCAACACACACACACACACACACACACACACACACACACACAACAAAAATGTGGTGTAATAACTACATAACTTATGAAACTTAACAGTTCATGGAACATTTAAGAGCAAGTGAATAGCACTTTAAAATGAAGTGATCAAAAGCAGGTACATTATACCCTATACCATATTATGTATGGGAATACATTTCATATTTCTCAATTATGATTCGCCAATTTTACCTTCTACATTGAGCCCTTCTATGGTCCATGCTCATCGGCTCACCAATGGCATACACTCAAAGGATTCCTCTTTATGGGTAACTATCTCAGGACCTGATTTTATGAGCTATGATTTGGTGCTTGCAGCATCTTCAGCACTGTGTGTGAAAATGAAGGCAGTATTTTTGAATATTTTTCTTTGTTGTAGAGATAAGCAGGAGTTTTAAAAGGATCAGCACATTTTAGAAATAGAATAAACAAAACTGATATGATGCTGCTTTAAAACATTCATCTTAATTCAAAATATGTACCAGTTAAAATCATCTATAAGAACACACAAACATTTTAAACTGGCAAAAAATGAAATAAATTCAGCGTCAGTTATTAAAGTATTATAAATCAGAAAAATACTGATTGCTATACAGATTATGAAAGGTTATTTGCTATACAGTTACCATTTCACTGATGCACATGCCTTTTACCAAAACATACTGCCAGTATTCTTTACAATTTTTTCCTTTTTCAGTGTATATAAAAGTCATAAAACCCGAGCTGTCTAAAAAGAAGTCATAAAACTCTCACCCATAATGCCCTTTACTGAATCGCTATATTAAAGAATAAGAAAAAATAAAGACTCCATAGCTATGGAGGGCAAAGAAAATGTCCTGTCAATCTTTAACAGATTGTGAAGGCTGTTGAAGTTTCTGACCAAGTGACTTCCTAAATCTTAAAATCTATGTCATTGTCTTTTCCTAATTTTAACAATTTTTCTGTATTTGGGAAAAGATTACAAAAAGTGTGATGTAATTCAATTATAGCAGCAATCTACTCATCATTCTTTCTTGTTTTAATAAAAAAATTAAAATAAAAAACATTACCCAGAAATGTAAACAGTTGTTTGAACAACTTACAGACTTTCCACTGAAATAGTAGCATAAATAACAAAATACATTTTGGGAAGCAGTAGCAGATTGCTTTTGAATACACAACCACAAAAACCTCACAGGGACAACATTAATGTACTGAAATATTTATTTATATATGTCCTTAGGTTGTGCTTACCTGTTGCTTTTTGCAGCAGAACCTAAGGTGGAAGGTCTGGGAAGGCACTGTGAAGCATAAATAATTGCACTGTTTGCAATTAATAAAGATTTTAAACTTCAAATGAATCAAAATCAACAGCCTCCAATTTGTGAGTTATGATACTGAATCCAACTGAACTATTTCTTTAATTAATAAATGTACCACTACTTTCCTAGAAGGTCATCTATAAAACAGTATCATGCAAACTACTGAAATTGTTCATGTCAATACCCTACTCTTAAAGATAACAAGTTAACTAACTCCTTAACTATTAAACTTCAAACTAGAACTACATTTCCATATCTACATAAGGGTAAGGGAAGTCACTCTACAATAAAAAACATTTCAAAATATCCACAATGAACTGGACTGCTAATTTTCTACCCTAGGTAATCTCAACATTTGTTTTTGTACATCTTCCTTTACAGTATATTCAAAATAACAAATGGTGCTCCCCACCAATGAAAGAACTAATATATATTTATGAAATGGTGTTAAAACTGCTACATTGCTTAATATATTTGCAAACTAAAAACCACTTCTGTCTGATACATTTCAAGTCTTTCATTATTAATATATAAAATATGCATATTTTACACTGAAAAACAATATATTTTAGGAGCACCAATGAGTAATACTATTCAACTTTTTTAATGATCAGTTTTCTTTAGCTATAGCTAAAGCATATAAAAAATACTTACCCATTAAGCTCACTTAAAAAAAAAATACAGACCTATGTATCATTCTATGTTAAATTAAGAAGCAGTTATGGTTTCCCAAAATATCAGCACTGTATTCCAACATAATATTCACACAAAGTATGGCATTTACATTATGTGGAACATTGACAAAAAGATACTGTTGCAGTTCATCAATTTGTCATTCTGATGTACTTACAGTGCAATGCTCCTTGAAGGAACACAATCAAGGATGATACACAGCACAGTCCTCCTCACCCCTACAGAGCTAGTTCTATACTGGCTGGATCAAACCTGCACTTCAACAGACAATGGCAAGACAGACTGTATTTGCATGTAGTCTAATATATTAATATGCAAAGAGCCAACAAATATGCAGAGTAAAACAATGGATTTCAACAAAATATCAGAACTTCAGCATGAGTGTTATAGAGTAATAAAATGGTTTCAAGTACATAAAAAAATTAAGTTGATTCAATGACTGGACTTGTGCATTTACAAAACAAAGCTTATCTATACTGCAAAAAGAAAAAAGAAAAGAGCTCAAACATTTCCATACCCCGATAATGTTCCAATGGCAGATGCACTGTAGCTATTATACTTTTTGCATACTATTCACTTTTCTACCCTAAATTTAGAAAGAAACACACTAATATTGTATACATTGAAAGAGTTGCTTTACATGAAAAAACTGTTCTTATTAGACTACTCATATTCACTATCTGAAAACTGTTTAAAGTTAGTTATGCTGAAACAGTCTTGGAAATCAAGTAATTATCAAATTAAGAACAGAAAGGTTAACTGTTATAGCAGCAGTACAGGTCTGAAACAGTGGTCATGTATAAAAGGAAATTTCACTGTTAATGCAATGGAAGTATGCCAAAAGATCATTGTACGCACATGCAGTTTTTAATCAAACAGAAGGGAAAAAAAAATGAAGATATCAGGGTTACTTGTGCTGAAATAGCCAAATACAATAAATGGAAAAGATCCTCCAATCTATTACTATACTGCAAGGGGGAAAAAACATGCCAGTGTTTAAAATTTCAATTACTATTTCATGGGGAAAGCTTATATATTTGTGTCTATGTATCTTAATTTATCATTGCTAAGAAATTATGAATTCTT